GTCTGTATGAGCTCTGGATTTACGTCAAAGAAAACATCGACCCGGAACCAGTTATTCTTGATTCTTCTGATTTGTTGATGAATAATTCCGTGATGCTCCCCAAGTATTGCAAGGCGGTGGGACTGCCTTTCACTACCAACATACTTGAATGGAAACCGTCTCTTGACGATATTTTATCATGGAAGTGGGGTTGTGACTTCAGGCAGAATACAGGCTACCTAGATCAGATGCTTTCAACCACAGGCTTCTCTCCCCCTAAAGAATTGCCGTCACGTGATACATTAACCCCTGACGTCCTTGACTTGGCTGACGCAGGTTTGCCGTTTTACGAGGAAATGTACAAGCACCGCTTACTTTAAAATGTCTTCATCATCTTGAGATTGCCAAATAGCCCGCTGTTTCTGATTTGGGAAATAATCCCGAAGTTACAAATCGCGTCTTCATCAGCTCAAGATTCGACCTCGAAACTTGAAACTCGACCTTGAGAAATTAGCTCGAGATATTTTGCTCAGCGTTAGCGCATAGTGCGAGTCTTCGGTCTGGTGAAGACGCACAGGACAAATAGCTCGATATTTTGCCAAATAGTGGGATATTTTGCAAACTATCCCAAGATATCTTGGGATGACAATCCCGACCAAATATCCCGCTAATTGCTACTTCGGTCTGATGAAGACGCAAATTAGCTGGATAGTTTGCGATCGGGATAGTTCAAATAGCTGGATATTTGGCAATCTCGAGATATTGAAGACAGGCTTCAGACCGGTTTCCAAAACAGGGATTGCTCAACACAATTATTCAAATAATCTTCAGATAATGTGGGTACATTTGGTATTGCTGATGCTAGATTTGGACCGATGTTTACAAAGAAATCATTAAATTCATTGGTAATTTCAGAATCAGTTTTTAGAACCTCATCATTTCTATTAATACTCCTAATAACTTTTTTTTTTTTTTACCTGAGTACCTTTGTTACCATTATTTCTCCCATTTAGTAATTCATTTATGATGTTCCATATTTTACCAGTGTTATTGCTGTTCTCAGCTAACATATCACTTTAATAATTTCTCTTGGCATTGCGAAGAACAGTCGTTAATACGTTTCTGTAGCTCCGATATTTTTGTACATCACTTGCATCAAAATTAGATTTTCTTACTTTTAAAACGATTTATATTTTTTCCGAACAGACTTCATTATTGATTTGATTATCCAAGGTTTTTTATAAGCGCGACCTTTGCAGCTTCTTTTCTCTTTGATTGGTGCATGTTTATTACAACCATTATTAAACAAATTATGCAAAATGGAATATGCCATGTTAACACCCGAGTGATTATCATACTTTTCGTAATATCATAATAGTGTATTTAATGTCTAATACTGTTACAGACTCACTAGTTACTCTTGTTGGATATTCTAGTTTCTGCTCCATTCCTACGCATTTCATCGCAGTTGAAAACCCTTCTGTTGTTCCGTCTGAACTTATTGAATTTTTATTTGAATCCCCTATTATAAAGGCCTGCCTTCACTCTCTCACATCGCTAGAGGGATCCAATGTTGTGGATGTGATATCCCCATTCAAAATATTTTTTCAAAAATCTGAAGAATGTTTTGCAGGGGGAGGGGGGCGGGGGAGGGGAAAAGGGGGGGGGGGGGTGTTGGAAAGTTTGAGCTAAGAATTTTCGGCAAATAACTTGGTCTGACACCCAAAGTTTAAGGAGAGGATCCAGGCATTGCCCTCTACCTAAATTGTTTATATTTTAATTATTTTATTTGTTTTAATTTTTTTTATGGAGGTTTTTTTTTTACAGCCTTGTTTTAAAATCAAACCCAAACCCAATCAAACTATATAAGAATAGAAAAGACATGCCCCAGGACGGATAATGAGCTGTGCAATTTGAAATAACAATTGCTAATTAGCATTATAGATAAAAACATCCAAAGCATCACAAAACATGCCATAGACCTAATGATTGATATTTGAGATCTGATTTTAGGCACAGTATGTTCACTGAGTGGACATGTATGTTAGATTTTAGTTATCATTTTTGCATTTACATGATTAGTTTTCAGTTTTGGGGGTATTTGTTTCATTAATACATAATTAGCTTCAAACATGATATACATCATACAAATATCAAGAAACAAGGCATGCTAGCAAAGATATCAAAATGTGAATAACTTAAGTCTTAGATGAATGACCACAGAACATAATGACAAATACCAAGTTTCTAGTTTAAACCGAAATATGTTTTGGATACATTTTTTGGTTTTGCATTAATTCTGCTGTTGCTCAAATTATCAATTGATAGCGCATAATTTACCAATCACTATGGCCCGATGTATGGCGTTTCTATTTGAATTTGGTAGGATTAAATTTCAAACTGTGTTGTAAATTAGCCAAAACGAAAGGTACTATTAAAGATCGAGAAACTGCCTGGATCCTACCATTGAATTTATTATTTATATATTTATTTTTATTAACAGGATAGCCAATTCAACACCAGTTGATCTCCCATGGGGCCCTGCGAGTAAAAACAATCATACGATCAAATCGATTACAGGAAACTAGCAAGTCAGAATAAACATAGCCTACAGAGAATTGAAATTCACGTAATCAAAATAAAAAGTTAAAGATTTCTTTGCATTATGGTAGATTTTGAATGAGTCGAATGTGTGTTTTGTTTTTCACTTCAAGTGGTAAATTATCAATTTTGGTAAATGGTCTAAAGACGCTATTAATTAAGTTTGATTGATTAAAATTCATTTTTATTTTTGTTTTTATATTTTTGATTTTCATCTTTTAAAATTTGTTTTGGTATATAAAGAGTAGCCAGCAGCTCAGAATGAGACGGTCACTGTACACGGTAATAAAGTATTTACAAAGTAATTTTACATTATATAAAATATTGTCAATAATATTTGAGAGTAAAAATACATGATATTTCGTTACAAGCCTACTTATTATTGATAGAGTTGTTTTAAATATATAGTACTGTACTGCATATTATAAATCTGCACTGTGTTATTTCAAATTAAGATATTATAAGATTATACTTGGGAATTTGCATGAATCATATATCAATTAAGCGTTGGGTGTATTATTATTTAACTTAGTTACTGGCGCCATCTATTGTCAGTAAATACCTTGTTGAATGGTTAGTCGAGGTTCGGGATCGCATTTGTTTATGTTTTAGTTTTCTTTTTAGTAGGCCTCAGTTACTGGGGTAGAGTTATCAGGTCGCACTAAAATTCGCACATAGTTTAGTCAGCCCCTTTATAAGCGGGGTTTCGTTTAGATATTTCAGATATATATTCTTATTTTAGATCAAGATTATCATGTTTGCAGGGGGTGCTAGCATTCTGTATTTATATTTGTATATAACAACAATATATGATGATGCTTTATCACTTAAGAATATAATAAATATTACCACAGAACATGACAATTGCATGCCCTATTTCTACTTTAAATTTGACATTGGCTTCATTATCTTATCTTTGTATTGTAACGGGACCTTAATTAAATATCTTCGTTGTTTGATAATGATTATAATGATGATATCTGATATTGTTGTAAGTTAAAAAGAATATCAATATGAGGGAAAACAATCTGTCTTGAATCAAACAAATTAATATCTATACTGAAAATAAAGATGTACGCCGAAATAAAACACCGTGAACATTATAATTACAGCTATAGCATTTATTACGTTTTCCACAATAACGGCGAGTTTCACAATCTCTTATTTACAATGTCATATATATAATTCAAAATAAACCATTCAATATACTATTCGATATAATATACTAAACATCCCTCAGTGGCAGTCTATTCGGAATCTGATCATTAGGCAATTATGTAAACATATACAAAATATATTAACAGTATTAACATGCTGCATAATTCATGGAAATAAAACGAAACAAGAATGCACAGCGTACTCTTTTAATCCTTCTGGTACGTCGAAATTGTAATTATAGACATCATCTCGTAATTATCGACTAAGAAAAGCCTGACTGTCTTTTTCTTCTTCTTGAGCTTCATATTAAGCTTATGGGTTATGTTTGATAGAACACCGTTTTTTGGTGAAAATGAATGATAAATAATCACGGACTTTGATTAAATTTACGCACCTGAAAAAAGAAATTGCTATAAATAAAGAATTATCACTAATTGCATATCAGCTTTACTGCATCATACCCGTTTCTAGTTATCTAAATCGCGAATAAAATGTCATTTTATTTCATTTCTATTTCATACTGGCAAGAATCTGGCTCATTTAAATAACCAATAGTTCGAAGGTATACTGGATTAATACTAAGTATAGACTTGTACATATGTATCTCGGTGATTGAAACGATTGTTGATAAAAAAAAACTTTATTCATTTCATTTGGTTACCATGGTTACATGCATTTTTATTACCTTTTGATTAACTTACGAGAAAATGAAAAAGGATAAAAACAAATACATCACAAGAAGCCTTTATGCGACACAATTACATGTATCATAAGTGAATAAATTAATATTCTACAAACACTATACATTCGAATGAAAAATATTAAAAACAAAATGCAGATAGTCCACAATGTTTTGAGTAATGCATTGCATTAATGGGGCAGCCTCAACTATCTTAACTTTGAAGATTTCGATAAAATAGGTAAAAGATATCAGGTAGTCGACAAATCAGACACAGTTTATTTAGATTTAATGAATTTAAAAAGAACCACCACTATTAATTTTAAGCAAATTTCCATAGACTATCTAGCTGCGCCGGTCGTCAGCTAAATTAAATGGTGTGTAAATGAAAATTAATTTAAAAGAGTTTATTAATGGCTAGATAGAGCTGAAAGGGCTGGTCATACTCGCATAATGGGGGAGATTTACAGAATACGTATGAAGCATCCAATGAGTCCGTTGCACACGAGGCGTTATTTTGATTGACGTAGGAGACTGGGCCCTGTTTCATATAACTTGATATCAATAACAAGTTACAAGCTACTGTTATAAGCTACTGAAACCATGGCATCTGATTGGCTGAGAGCAAGTTTATCATAGAAATTAAGCATTTGTTATTGAAAAAAGTTTTATGAAACGGGCCCCGGGTGTGGTCTTTGTGACGCGCCATGTGAGAAAGACAACGTACAAAACGAGCAAGAAAGGATGAAAAATGAGCATTGCGTTGATTACTGGGGGAGTGTAGTCATCTCCGTCATTATTTGATAAGCTTTAGGTGATAATGCAGTCGAATTGACGCCATATGTTCGACTGGTATTCGCATGAAATGACCTGGTAATTTTAAAGGCAATTTACCACGTGTGAACGAGGCTTCAAAATTCGTGATTTTGATCAATTTTTTGGGATCAATTACTGGTAGCACGTTCAAACCAATATGGAAAGCTGAAGGCCTTGTCATTGTGGTATGATTTAGGAACAAACAAGGTGACAAGCTCTAGGCCTACATCTTTTGTTCTTCGTCCAATGGTACTTTTCCCAAGTTGATGGTACAATCACACAGCGAGCATTTTCCTTGCAATGCTCTGGCGCATTCCTCACAATAAACCCCGTCACAGTCTTGGTCAGAGCAGTATACCAAGAGACCATCATCCGGGCTACTACAACCTAAGCATTGCGTTTGTTTTAAACCGCAACAGGTGAAGAGACACTTACAGCAAGGGAACTTCATTGTCAAATAAGAAGATATACTGATTTTGTTGTAAGCGTCCTTCTCTTTCTTGTTCCGTCTAACGGATTGGCAAAGCATTTTCATCAGGGACTGTCTTTTCTGCAAGGTGCGACCATAGAGGTAAGCAATGCGTTCTACCTCTCGCTCTGGGTAGTAGTACGCGGCAATGTAACGGAGAAGACGTTGGGCGTAGGCCTGCGAGAGCGTCATCAAGATAGTGACAAAGTAGAGGACGCTGATGATGATAGACAAGTTTTTGTCAGGTATAATGGGCTGTGGTAGGCAGACGGTGGTGTCGAGTGAGGTGTTGAAAGCAGACGTGGCCTTGAAGCCTTCGTTGAAGAGAATCCTTACAAGATCAGCCACAACACCATTTCCTCCGATTTCAACATCAGTGCCGGCCTCTCCTGATGTGGCAATCTGGACATCACCGTGCTCTCGAATCTTGCTAAGCAACCAGTAAAGTCCAAAGTCAATGAACATCAGAAGCCCAGCAATGATGGAATGTAGACAGACAGTCGAAAGCCCAAATTTGAAGTAGCCCTTCTCCGATTTGCATAGACGAACAGCAGTCACGTCAATGAGTCGGTTCCGTTCGTTCTTTTTCAGTGGTAGAAGGTGATGTTGTCCATTTTCACTGCGGTTGGCATCTAGCTTCTTAAACTGTGCAGTGATGTACTGGTTGTCGTATGAGTCCTTGGTGCGGTAGTTGGAGTGGTACATGTATGACTTAAAGAGCACCCAGACGAAGGACAGTGCTAGGAGTTTGTCAGAGAAGGATAGGATCCAGTCGACGTAGCTGTAAGCTTCGTCCAGCTCTGCAGAGATGGCCTCTTGGATGTGCTCAGCGGTCGTGCTCGAGTTTGAACGCTTCTCGAAATAACGCGAGAAATCGACATCGGCCGAAAAGGTGTCCACTACGCTCTGCATTGCAGTGCGCGTGTTCAAGAGGGCGTTGTTTACGGCATTGTCCAGATAGGCCGGTGTGGCACAGATACTGTTAATTTTCAGAAGACTACATACGGCGTCTGCGTTAAAAATCTCACACACTTGACCTGAAAAAGACAAGAGATAAACAAATTAAATCGTTACAAATAATTAAACATGTTTTTCAAACTTCAATATCTTCGATTCTTGCTATTGCAATTTTTAGCTTTAAAAAATGGAGAACAAATTCCGGATTTAAAGGATTAAAACATATTTTTCTACAAAACCGTGACCTGTAGAAGAAAAGGAATTGTATTTAGTTTTTTTGTTTGTTCAATCCTTATCATCACATTTGATTGAGCGCGCACAAGACCGCAGGTCAACGAGGTCGAAGCTCTTGTGAGATTAATATTTAGAAAGAATTCTGGGACCGTCTCTTCAGTCTCTCCGGTGTCTTGAACCTATATGGTATATCTTCGGTCAAGTGGGCTATAGTAGAACAGCATGCATACATTTAGATACGAGTAAAATTAACGATGCATCCGCACTATTCAATTATATATTTTGTATCCTGTGTCGCGCGTCAGTTCATAAGTCCAATTTTCTACTAGTGACTATCGTGCAACACTATGAGTTATCAATCAGTGGTAGATCAGTGCAGGGGCGACGGGGCGACTTCCAAAGTGGGGAGGGGGGCACCAACGAAAAGGGGCACTTTGGGGAAAAAGGGCACCTACACAGGGAAATCTCAACGCGAAAATATCCAATTTTTTAGACCTTGGTATATACCACTACATTGTGATTAAATAATCAGGGGTGATTTCAATATTTATTTCTTTTTATACATCATACAAAATATTGCTTAAGCATCAGACTTTGTAGTTGGATGTCATGGTCTGAAATTTATTTGCGAACGAGTGAACTGAGCGAGGAACAATTTAAAGATTTGTGAGGTCACAGTGCGAAAAATTACATCTTATAAAGAGGAAAAAACCCAATCCTCGCGAGGTTATATAAGCACATTCTTATAACGGAAGAATGAAAAAACCTTTGATATGTAACTAAATTATATCATCTAAAAATGCGAGCGAGCTTTGGGGTTAAGTGCTCTTAGTCGCTTAAAATTAGGAACATGTTTAATGACGAGGAGAAAAGGGGATACTTATCGAAAGGTATAAGACACTTATTAGAAAAGAAAAGGAGCACGTGTCAAAGTACAAAGGGTGATTATCAGAGGTGATAATTGGGCACTCCTTACACCTAAAAGAGGCACGCACCAGGGATGGGAAAAGGCACTTATGAGAAAGGAAAAGGGGCACGTGTCAAAATAAAAGGGACAGTTATTAGAGGTCAAAAGGGACACTCATCAGAAATAAAAAGAGTATTTATCAGGAGGGTAAGGGGCACTTGTCAAAGTAAAATGAGTATCTCTCAGATTTTAATAGAGACAACTTATTGGAGTTGAAGGAGGCACTTATCTGAAGTGAAAATAAGCATCTTCTCGTATCTAAAAAGAATCATTTACCAGAGATAAAAGGGGCACTTATGAGCATGGAGAATGGACACTTATTGCAAAGGAAAATGGGAACTTGTCGAAGGTGAAAAGAGGAAGGGGCACTTTCACAAATTAATAGGGACACCTGTCAAAGTAAAAGGGGCACTTTTCCCTATGTAAAAAGGAGCACTTTTGGGGTACTCGAAAAATAGGGACACTGTGACCCCTCCCCTCCTTGCCCGCGGGAGCGCCGCCTCTGGATCAGTGTCCTAATATCCGGGAGATCCTGGGTTCGAAATCAAGTCAACGCACGATTAAGTCCCTTGGTAAGGCAGTGATCGTCATTATCAAATCCTTTGGATAAGACATAAATCCGTACATTTGCCGTATTTAACTTGTGGCATCTTCAACTGAATCAAGATAACTTACCAACGGAGGTTGGGACCCTTTTATCTCTCATAAATGTTTGGCAGTCGATGTAGACATTATTCAAGTTCCGATCGCAACTCCGGTAAGCTGATCCTAAGATGTCGTCACAGGCCCTTGCCGCTTTTCCCAGTTCTCTCCCTGCAGCCTGTGTTAAAGAAAGGAATTGACCATGTTTAAATGCAATTGGGTTTCAGACGATTTAAAGAAAGAAAAAAAGGACCCTAACGTTTCATGATTTGTGATTGATTCAAATCGATCGAAACTTGTAGGACTTTGGTTCATAATATTTCAATCAAAACCTTCCAGATTACGAACAAGGCATTGTGCCTTTGATATTGATTGTATCATTGCGATCGATTTAGATCATTCGCAAATCTTAACAAGCCTGGGCACAAATTTGTTTTCTATCTTCTAACCAAAGATTGAAATCCACACTTACATTCGCTTTACATAGCAAAGTTATATCCACTCAATGGCTGTTTACTGTGAAAAAGGAAAACCGATGCTGGATTTAGGTTTGTGTGCAAATTTGGGCTTAGCAAAGGAATTTAGGCTGAGGGTTAAGTTTTTCTTTTGTTATATGTGATTTCAGAACAGAATTAATAGAATACGGACTAGTATTTTGACGCATTAGACCGAACATATACCGTGTATACAAGAACAGCCTGTCTGTGCTAAATGACTGGGTTCAGGTATGTGATAATATTGACAACATGCTCTCGTCGATCAGTGCACATGCCATGCGCTATGCAATATTCATTATCATTAGCAGCATCATCAGCATCACCATCTTCGGCATCAGCACCACCGCCACCATCGTCATCGTCATCATCATCAGCAGCAGTATCATTAGATGACGACGGAATAGCATTATTTATGAATGGTTTACGAATAAATTAACTTGAAACTGTGCTCTTTTTTTTTAGAACGTGGAGTCTTTATTATTTGTAAACATACACTATATCTAAAAGCAGTTTAGTCATATCAATCTTGATAAAATTCAAAATGAATTATCTATCGTAGTACCTAGACTGAAATAGCATGTAACATGTAATAAAATAACATAATTGTAGTTATGAATAACTTTTCTTTTGTATCCCTTCCGATGTGTACACACTAAGAAATAAGGGTGCAGTTGGGGTGCAGATTTGCATCCACCTACGGGTATTCGGCAGATCAGAGGGTGCTGCTATTGTAGCTGAATTGTAACTGTATTTGTGTAAGGTAAGATATACCTACTCCTTTAATAAAAACATATGCATCATGCGTACAAAGCGTGGTTTCTGCCTTATCCATGTCCAAATCTAAGAACCAACCATCATGAAACATTACAAATTCAAATTTCAATTTTTCAAATTTATTCATGTTTCCAACAAAACATTATAAATCAATTATAAGCATTTAAAACAAATTCAAGAAATACATGTTGAAAACAGAGAGTCCACTAAAAAGCAATGCTTGTACAAGTGTGAACATCTTAAATGAAACTTAGGAATAATGAGTAATTAAATTAACTAATCTGTAACTACAAATTTGACACGATCGACTTAGGGTCATCTTTGTATAATTATAATCATTTCAAAAATTTCAAACAACAGCGTCAAACAATTCAAACAATATTCAAGTAGCTTAGCTACATTTATGCAAAACCAGAATATTTTATTTCAGCACTGCATCGTTTTACTCCTTTAATCACTGATAATGCATTAGTTCCAAATAAACTTCCAATAAATGAATCAGAACACTACAGCACACAACTAAAAGGTAGTCACACAAATGATGTGAACCAACCGCAAACGATGACCAAAAATGGATCAACATCGAGTTTTCGTAAGGTACTGCTTTTGTAATTCATTAAAATGAATAATATCATTAGTTTAATAAGTTGTTCTGAAGTTGTAAAGTTCTGTTAGGTCATGTATAAAACAAAAAATACGTTGACTGGACTAATTTCTTCCACTATACGGCATACTGGCCAACGTACTTCCTTTAATTCATTATTATCAGTTTCAAAAGTCATGTGACAAAAAAAGAAATATGTACATGGAGATAATATATCATTTGAAATTGCATTGAAAATATACATGTATAAGAATCAAAATACCTGCTTTGTACAAACTATTATAATACAGCAAGAGTTAATCACCGTTTCCATTTTCTATATGTTCATTTTTGTAACGTTCTAATCATATTCCAGATTAATAAATCTTCAAAAATCTTCGATTGCAGAGATTAATAGTATATAATGGAAAGGTCTGAAAGGAAAACAACACGTAGACCTATCGTGTCTATAAACTTAATTGTATAAATAGTTCATCAAAGTCTTTCTACTTCTGCATAGTTCCTCTCTAATTCTAATCGGCAAATACAGTAGTTACTATATGACACGAAATTGTTTAGTACATTAGTAAATGTTTCAGTAACTGAGAACAAAATGATTTGATAAAGGATGCGCTTATATAATCTAAGAGAAGTAAACAAAAATGTAAGTACCTTTCTAAAAGAAAACCCATATGATTAAAAAATAGTACTTTAGTAACTCCCTTCCTAAGATGGAACAAAACATCATAGTTACTTAATCAGCTTTCTTTCTAAGTAAATAATTGAAGTGTAGTACATATTATGTTACATTTTTTTTTAAAGTAAAGTAATTGAAATGTAGTACTTAAGTTATTTTCTTACAAAGTAAAGTAATTGAAGTGTAGTACTTGAGTAACTTTCTTACAAAGAAAACTAATTGAAGTGTAGTACTTGAGTGAGTAACTTTCTTACAAAGTAAACAAATTTCAATGTAGTTCTTGAGTAACTTTCTTACCAAGTAAAGTAATTGAAGTGTAGTACTTGAGTAACTTTCTTACAAAGAAAACTAATTGAAGTGTAGTACTTGAGTAACTTTCTTACAAAGTAAACTAATTTCAATGTAGTTCTTGAGTAACTTTCTTACAAAGTAAAGTAATTGAAGTGTAGTACTTAAGTAACTTTCTTACAAAGAAAACTAATTGAAGTGTAGTACTTGAGTAACTTTCTTACAAAGTAAACAAATTTCAATGTAGTTCTTGAGTAACTTTCTTACCAAGTAAAGTAATTTAAGTGTAGTACTTGAGTAACTTTCTTACAAAGTAAACTAATTGCAATGTAGTTCTTGAGTAACTTTCTTACCAAGTAAAGTAATTGAAGTGTAGTACTTGAGTAACTTTCTTACAAAGTAAAGTGATTGAAATGTAGTACTTAAGTTACTTTCTTACCAAGTAAAGTAATTTAAGTGTAGTACTTGAGTAACTTTCTTACAAAGTAAAGTAATTTGAGTGTAGTACTTAAGTTACTTTCTTACAAAGTAAAGTAATTGAAGTGTAGTACTTGAGTAACTTTCTTACAAAGTAAACTAATTGAAATGTAGTTCTTGAGTAACTTTCTTACCAAATAAAGTAATTGAAATGTATTACTTAAGTTACTTTCTTACCAAGTAAAGTTATTGAAATGTAGTACTTAAGTTACTTTCTTATTAAATATTCGAAGTGCAGTACAGCTTTCATAGTACTAGGATGGCACAAGTAATTTAAAAATAATACTTTAATACGTTTCTTGCTAAGTGAGTACAAATAATTTAAGAGCAGTACGTTAGTACATCCCCTTTTTATTTCCGTATTATTTCTTCAATACACTACGTATCAATGACTTCAATTTTCCTAAATGATTCCTCAAATGGATTACAATAAATAGAAAAACAAACACTCCATGGTAATTCTATTTTTCGCTATTATCTCTTTTCAACCAAAATATGAATGTTTTGCCTAAATTTATTTAATCTTGAAGGCTTTAATCAAGTATCTGCATTAGCATTTCATCAAATTTGAAATGAATAAAAACAGATACACCATCATATTGTCTTGAAATCATTTGCACGGATTGACAAACTTAGGAAATACCGTATCTAGTAGATTAATCGCAGTTTAATGTTTCCGAATGTCTTTAGTTATAAACTAGCGAAAACACACTAGAATTGGTGTTCAGCTTCTTCTGGTTTCTGCCCTAGGCTTATTATATCATCACAAATGATACACTTTCCTTTCAATGCGCATGCGCACTCCTCGCAATACACTCCATCACATTCCCCATCCGAGCAGTAAGCAAGGAACCCGTCATCCGGGCAACGACAGCCAAGACACTGTAACTTTTTAAACCCACAGAAGCTCAGGAGTGATTTACAACAAGGAATATTTCTGGCAAGGTATGCCGTTATGCTGATCCGTTCATTTGCGTCTCGTTCTTTCTTGTTTATTTTCACTGCATCTCGCAACATCTTCTTTAGCGTTTGTCTCTTCTGCATGGTGCGTCCGTACAGGTACTTGGTGCGTTCTACTTCGCGCTCGGGGTAGTAGTAGGCAGCGATGTAACGGAGTAGCCGGCGCGCGTACGCCTGAGACAACACCATGATAATGGTGGTGGCGTAGAGGAAACCTATAGCAACAGCCAAATTGTTGTTTGGTGGGCTCGGTTGTGGCAGACATTTTGTGGTGTTGAGGGTGGTGTTGAAGGCGGTGGACGCCTGGAAGCCCTCGGCAAATAGAAGACGGACAAACTCCGAGAGAATACCTGTTCCTCCTATGTCTACATTAGCCCCTGTTCCCCCTGACACCTCAACCTCATAACGGCCATGTTCTTGAATCTTTGACAATAGCCAGTACAGCCCGAAATCCATGAACATAAGGATTCCTGCAATGATGATGTGAAGGAGAACCCTTGAAAGTCCCAGGGTAAGGTACTGTTTTTCGGTTCTGCTAAGACGCAGAGCGGTGGCGTCGATAAGGTGATTCTTTTCATGCTTCTTGAGAGGCAGAATATGAGACGCTCCACGTTCCTTGCGACTAGAATCCAATCTTTTAAACTGAGCGGTAATGTATTGGTTATCAAATGAATCCTTGGAGCGATAGCTCGAGTGGTACATGTAGGACTTGATGCAAAGCCAGACGAAAGTGAGGGCCAGGAGCTTGTCCGAAATAGCTAGGACCCAGTCAATTTTGCTGTATGCTTCATCCAGCTCCTGTTGAATCGCTTCCTGGATTCGCTCAACGGTCGTACTCTGATTGACGTTGGTCTCAAATTGACGGGAAATGTCCACATCTGCAGAAAACGTATTGATGACGGACTGTATAGCCCTTCGTGTGCCTGCAAGAGAATCCGCTACAGCATTGTCCACATAGGCCGGTACCTGACAAACACTGTCGATATCCAGGATGGCACACAAGCCTCGTGCGTCGAAGATGTTGCAGACATCACCTACAAGAAACACATTGTACGGAATTAGAGGTAAAACCATTTGTGTATCAAACGTAGACTGACTTATTGTAATTATTATGTGATATGTATGTTTATATATTACGGATGGATAGCTGTTTCACAGAAAGTGAAATCAATTATCCTACGTGGTGAATGTTTAAGGATAATTTGATTATACGTGATAATGTATAGCATTCATGACCTATCTGGCTTTCAGAAAATGAGAAACAAACTAAATGTGAGACTTTATACGAAAGAAGTATTTTTACAAACTGACCAGAGATAATAATAATGTCTGTTGCTGAAAAATCCCTTTTCTACCTGTCATTTATGGTCGACTACCAGTGCAAATGCGAAACTTCGATCATACAAACAGCTTTCAAAACTGATTTGTGTTTTAAGGCACATGATATTTCCATGAACAAGGCTAAAAGCAATCCATCAGCCTTACAGCGGCTACAGAATTTACCTTATCCTCTTTTAAAATGATATTGATATTTGGCAATTCATTATACTTGGAATCTGCATATATAAACACTAATGAGGCATGGATGTTCGAATGTGTAGAAGATTGGCTCTTACCTAGAGATTCGAAAAGATTCTGCTGTGACAAGAACTCGACACAGTCTAAACGCACCCGATCAAGGCTGTCAACACATGACCTATGAGTGGATCCAATAATATCAGTACAACCATCTGCAGCCTCTTGGAGCGCGTCGGAGACTTGCTACAGGGAGAAACCAACGAGATGTTTTTGGTCCTCGGCACTAACTTATGCTTTTAGTTGCGTTTCGCGAGTGGTCTTCTGTAAGACAATGTGGACTGTCTTTGGTTGTCGCGCTATTGCCTTAAACTGATTGTTTCCGGAGTTGAATCGACCGCGGAAAACACCTACCGACATTGATCAAGTTAATGTTAAACTAAAATCATGTGTGCGTATACAGTAATGTTCTGCCCCCTATGTTACGTTATACCTGAACGCGAAAATTCCGAAGCAACTGCCGATGCTACTGGTTCTTCGTCAAGGAAATTGTAGTGGTGAAAGGGTGGAGGGGGTGTTTAGGTAGGATTACAATGACAGAGCACGATGCAGTGGGAATGTGAATTTGGAAACAGAATAGGAACTAGAAAAAGAACATTGCCTCCTTATCTCGTACATGAACATCAAATGGTTTCATTGCACCTTCATTCATAACGATTAGGGTTGCGAGGGAAATGGTATGTTGAAGATATCAAGATAGCAAGGATATAGCTTAAGATGCCATTAGGTCACACAAAACATTGTTTCCATTAAGAGTAAAGGAGCTAAGAGAATTTAGGTTTGACGGGTAAGATAGTAATTACATGCTTTACATGCCAACAGCAATCTGATCAATGTATTCAAATAATGCAATTTGGGTGCATAGCAAGAGTCAGATAAAACATTCGAGAAAGGATATTCAAAGAGCATGTCAAACAAAATGCAACTTACGTCGAGTCCTTCATTGAGTATACCGAGGCCATCTTCCACCGGTTGAAAGACCTCTTGAACCTGAGCTACGGCACCTTGGATCCGCCCTACACTGGTCAGAAGACCTTTGACATATGCATCAAGAACACGTTGAGCTGCCTCCTGGATCTCACGGGTCTGGTTGTAGGCGAGCTGGATAGAGGTTGGCAGAATGAGAGCGAGAGAGAGAGAGAGAGAATGAAAGGTGTTAGCACTTTGATGATTTATAATCAATATACATGAATGTTTATTTCCTTCTATTTACGACGCAAAAACCGATACATGGTTCTGACCGACATTACGGCAAATTGTATCGATCATTCACTTTAAAAAATAAAATCGACGTAAACTAATCGAAACCATGGAAAACAAGAGAGCTTCGAGAGGAGCAAATCTGTTCTGTCTATCATATTATTTCGAATATGAACCATAGCTTTTTAAAAAACTGAAAAATTGTTTAAACATAGGGGTCCCGCTACAGCACACTCTTTCTTAATATGCTAAACAATCTGAATTTGACCACATGGACACAGGCCAGATGTGGTCAAAATCATTTAAACTATTAAACATGATGTCAACCTTATAAGATATATTATTAACAGTGCAAATGAGTGATACCTTAGCGATGAACACGGACCAATATGGGTGTTGATCGTGTCTGGTATATTTTGTATAAAGATATTCCATGATGCAGTATTATTGAAGCATACTTAATTGGCTAAATCTATAATATACCTGTGCACTGCAGCTCATGGAGTCAGAAACTTCGTTGGAGTTCAGGTAGATGTTGTGGATAGGTCCGCGTAGTAGGAGGGTAACGATGAAGGTCAGGAAGGCAGCCCGCCCTCTGGAGGTGCAGATTGTTGGCACCATCAGGGCTGCAACACACCTTGCACGAACTGCCAAATAAAACATACGAATTAATAATTAATTAATTATTACCGACGGAGTTGCCAATGAAACAACAAAAACAGCATCATTGGCAACAAAATAGCGACTTACCGTAACACCCAAATGCGTTCGGATAATGTACAATACAATTAAAGTGTATACATTTCAAAAGGCAGACATGTAATGGGGTATTTAACCCAATTCAATAAAAACGATATGTGTGAGTAGCATAAGTAGGAGTCAGTGGCGGTGTAGGTACCGCCTCCCTCGTGTTGAAGGCCAACAATGGAAGGGAGGGAGGGAGGGGGTGAGTAAAACTAGCAATTGGTCTTCGTAAACAGGGCTGCCCAGATATATCAAACTCCCTTCTGTGTATTCCGCCTCCTGTTCATAAATTGCTCGATACGTCACGTTTCCCAAATGAGAACTGTAGACAATTGTTTGTATTTTGTGGTTTCTTTTCACTTCTTCATATTCATCATTATTATCAACTCAATACAAATATATGTAACAAGGAATAAATTGAGTATCAGTAGAAAAGAGCACAACTGAGATAAGGATGGCGTATTGTGTCTTACAATCATAATAATGCTTATTCCTCAGTCACACCGCCAAAAGTAACTTAAATCTCTCACCAAAGCGAGTAATTCTTAACCATTCGGGGGGGGGGGGGGGGAGGGGGGATAAGGTACGTTTTTATTGTACTGACCACTGACGGTCTGGGCAGCGCTTCACGAAACCGTCATAAGTTCCCCGATAGCCCATTGAAGCGTGTGTTAATTGAAACACACACGTTCCATTGGGACGTCGGTGAACTTGTACGTATGACGGTTGCTTGAAACGATGCCCTGATGTCGGTCTTGTCGAAGTGACTAAGGAAGGTATTAAAGCCCCTCTGCACTACTTATGGCTACTTGCGCCCTCTATATAGCAAACAATGCCTAATCAGTGCCTCATGGTCCCCCATGATCCTCTTTTTCTTATGTTAATTGAGAGCCGACTTGATGAGATAACCACGAGTCAGTGACCTTTCAGGGAGGTCTAATCCCCCCTGGCCAAACTAGTACAGACGGGCTTTAAGTAGAACTCTTACCAGTGAACGCGAGGCAAGGTGCCATGAAGAGAGTCCCGATTTTTGCGATGATGAGAGCCGGATAGATCGGGTAGTCGAGGCCGTAGTAGAGTCCTAAGAAGAGAAGACCACCGAGGATGAGACCGACTAGGAACCCAACGATGGCCTTGAGCTGCGGAGAGCGGAAAAGATGAGAGCGTAAAAAGGGATGGCCAGAAGAGAGGAATTAAAAACCCATCAAGTGTAGAATATTTATATTTTATTTAAGATACATGATTATCAAAAAAGATATTGTGGAATATCGTCCTCCTCGAGCTCCTCCTATTCGTAAAGGCCTGAAATAAAAAGTTCTTCCATATTATACTTCACTCCGATTTATGATTTCTTATCATCGCAAACCTGAACGATCACAATAATAATTTGTTGGCTTCGAATTAAAAATTTTAGAAATGAATTCCGACTCGACAAGGGCAACGATATAGTCAATCATAGGAAAAACGGCCAAAGACATCAATTCAAATTAGAAAGATTTAGACGGTTTGGAGAAATGGGGGTAGATTTAGTCACAAACTACACTACTCATTTTTGGGACCAGGAACGATTTTTTCGATTGACATATTGCCAACACCAACTAAACACCAACTAAAAAATATGAGATTCTTGTGACTTTAGAAAACCGCATACCTTTTTATGTGAACCACGATCACTGAGCAGAATGTCGTTGAGGAATTCGTTGCTAGCCACAAGACTCTTGGGCATGGACACCAAGCTACTCAAAGAACTCTTATTTCGCCTCCTTCTGGGATGCTGTCTCGATGGTGAACCGTTCGGTGTTGAGGGTGGAGAGGGTGTATTGCCTCCGTTAGAGAAAGATTTCTGAAAGAGGGTTTAAGGTGAAACAGAATTTAATGACATAATTAATTTTTGATTTGTATTTGTCTCTTGCAAAACAAGTTATGCGATAAAGTCTATAACTACTTCTACTAATGTTTAACCATCACTTCTATTTCTGTTGTTGCAACTACTGCTACTGCTATTATTTCTTCTACTGTTTATTATTATTATTATTATTATTATTATTATTATTATTACTTCTACTACTACCATTATACTACCACTACTACTCCTTCTACTACTACTACTACTACTACTAATACCACTACTATTACTACTACTACTACTACTATTTATACTACTACTACTACTACTATTTCTAATACTATAGTACTACCATTTCGTCTACTTCTATTTCTGCTATTACTACTACTACCAATTCTATTTCTACTACTTATATTACTACTACTACCAATTCTATTTCTACTACTTATATTACTACTACTACCAATTCTATTTCTACTACTTATATTACTACTACTACCAATTCTATTTCTACTACTTATATTACTACTACTACCAATTCTATTTCTACTACTTATATTACTACTACTACCAATTCTATTTCTACTACTTATATTACTACTACTACCAATTCTGTTTCTACTACTTATATTACTACTACTACCAATTCTATTTCTACTACTTATATTACTACTACTACCAATTCTATTTCTACTACTTATATTACTACTACTACCAATTCTATTTCTACTACTTATATTACTACTACTACCAATTCTATTTCTACTACTTATATTACTACTACTACCAATTCTATTTCTACTACTTATATTACTACTACTACCAATTCTATTTCTACTACTTATATTACTACTACTACCAATTCTATTTCTACTACTTATATTACTACTACTACCATTTCGAATACTTCTATTTCTGCTACTACTCCTACCGCTACTGCTACTACTTCATTTGTGGTATTACCTTTTCTGGAAGTGGTGAGAACCGAGGGGCCGTGTCCGCTTCATCATAACCCGACTTCTGTCGAACCATGTTGATCTTCAAAGAGTTCTCCACCTGTTTCAGACTGTTGGTCCTATCACCATCACTGACCATACCTTCTCCTAGATCAGTCCGCATGATAGGAAGGGTTGAACTGTCCTTCTTGGACGTACCGTCCACCAAGGATCGCAGGAGCTCCTCACGTAAGGTTTCCCGCCTTTTCTCACCCGGGGCAGACGACGCTCCGGAATTATTTGCGGCGTTGTGAAGAGAGGTGTTGGAGTCGATAAGGATGCTAGCCACTCGGCCAGCCGGCGCTGATTGGCGATTTCGTCGCTTTCGTTGGATTGCTTTGCTGGAAATCTAAAAAATCAACAAGAGTGAAATTCCTTACACAGGTAGACAAAACTCGAGAAGAAGAGAAGAAACCGAGTGCTCGATTCAATGATCAAGTGTTCTTGTAAACTTTATTTTGAAACGCTTCATTTTCAATACGTGTGTTAATTGCTCAACCTAAATAATCTCTGACGTCAAAATCACAGTTTTAATAACCATCCCTTTTCCACGGATCAATAACCAACCCCTTTGAAATTGTCTTCTCAACATTACCAAAACTTCTCCAGCTTCATACGTGCAACAGGACTACACAGGGCTCCAACTGTTTATTGAGAAATGGCAACCCTCTGATGTTGATTCCTTCTGTCCTACCTAAGTACCTGCGTGACAGTATTGGCCTCAAAGTTAAATATCGCTTCGTTATTCAGTTTTGAGTATTCCAGAAGGAAGAACAGTCATATGGTTTCGATTTCCATTGGCTTAGATTGAATCTCTAATCCTACGCTAAGCTACTCACGGTCGGTATGTCCTTGTCTGCCCTTGATGCGGAACCTGATCGAGGGCGATGGGGAACCGTCGGGAGGGGCCTTCGCTTTATGGATTGCATGGATCCTCCACTCATCGAACGGCATCGACGTGCACCGCCTACGTGTTTACGAGCCACATTGACTTCTGCAGAGAGAAAGGTTAAGGGTGGGGGGGGGGGCATGGTAAGGGATTAAAGTCATTTGATTTATATGTGATAATTGAAAATATTTGGCATATATCACATTCGGATAAGTCATTACATTAATATTGAAAGCAAATTGTTTTTCAAAATATTTTAAAAAAAATTAATAATTACGTCAACTTTAATAATACGGTCCGTTAGTTCAAGCTTTTTACAAAACTTAAAGTTCCAAGTTAAGTATTGTCAATATATGTCCAGCACGATATCTAGTTCAATTAGTAATTTCGATTCAACCTCTTGTGGAAACTTATAGAACATGGCTTCAGATTCCAAATGGAGAAGCATGAATCATATTTGACATTTAATCATTGACAAGAACAAACTTCACATTCCCACGAAATATTACAAAGTTTGTCAGCATTGCGGCATAAATGTTCATATTGCTTCACCAGTCTTTGTCCTGTTGAACAATGTGTTTTCAGATAATACATGGCTCTCTTTGCAAAGCGTTCTTAAATTTACATAATGTATGCAAGATTTAGGTTTTCAAATCATCCCCATTACAATCTCAAAAACGTCTATCTCCATATTACCAGAAGTCAATTTCAATACCCTCATCCATCTCCTATTCAAATTTGTGAACATCACATTGATGAATTTCTGAATCTGAAAATTATATACGATAGGCGATCGAAATTGATTTCTTGGAAGCCTTTGCGTTTGTGTTCCCGCTATTTTTAATGAAAATACACATCTTCGATATTTCGAAAAGCCAAAGGTCCTACACAAAAGAAATTATGAAACGAACCGTCATCAGTGACGAAGTCATAAGGCTCTGGCCCGGTCTTAGCTGCCTGATTAGGAGGAGATGGTGCTGCTTTAGTCGGTGTCCTAGGTTTCTTCACCGGTGAGTTCACGGGAGTGGTCTCTGGACTTATCGTCTCAGAACTGGGTGGTCGATCAAGCTGTTTATTACTCCGCATCTGGTTTGCAAGGCGCTCCACGGGTGACCTAGGTGTAGGTATAACCATTGTTAATGGATGATATTGTCGTTTAGTAAACGAAAAAAATGTGTAATGACGGTATTTGGATCAGCAAAGTCGAGGCAAAAATTGCCAGTCCTGACACGACATCAAACGATCAACGAATTTTCTCATTTAAACTCCATTAAATTATTTACAGGCAGAGTGTAAGTAAATTTCCGCTGTACTCCTGAGCATAGGAGTAGAAACTTGGTATTTTAATACATCTGAAAAGGAAAGGCAATCGTTTAAGTTTGCAATGCCTGCTCGTCGGTGTCAAGCGTCTTTGAAGACAAAAAGTATCCTGTCTGAACTAAAACCCTAAAGCGAATGTTCCAATATTTAATATTGAAAGCAACAAGTCAAATAAACGACATGCCTAGAACTTTTAGCCAAGAACAAGATACAAAATAAACATGTTTCTATAACGGCTTCTATCCGTGAAGACTTAATACTGCTGTTGCCAACCTGAAAATATTCCTGTAACTGACTACAAGACTGGCCAGGGATTTGCGTCATTAGTGAGGGCGTGAATTAGAGGAAGATAAATTGAATTATCTTCTAGTCAGATCATACGATATGAATACAGATTAAAACATCGGTTCGACAGACATAAGAAGAAAATAATAAGCGCGCAGTCTTCGTAACATAGCAACCATCATGACATAGCAACAGAACCACCACCTCCATGCAATCTATGTTCATTTATTTATTGCTTGCACCATGGTTGATTTAGTTTTACTGTGGGCGACTACGTGCTAAAAGGTTGCGTTCCTGATTTCTTTGACGCTATCTAAATGAAAAGCCAAAATAATTCCTTATCATGTTGCAAGCTGCGGCTGGTAAGTATTACTTAATGTCAATCCACTAATCGAATTAACGTTTTTGGAAAACATGAAATTACACAGAGCGGCGGTAGCGCAGGAAACAAAATATTGAAATGTGCCTTTTAAAAGATACTTTAATGTGAGGAAACGTGCAGCTTGTACACGAAGTTGTGACTCGAAATCACATTGATTTCTAAATGTAAATTTGTCTTCTTTTGGATTATTTCCTTGTGAATCAACGGTAACTGAATTAAAGGCGAGACTGATAGTCATACCCAAAGGCAAAAACAATTCAAACCCTTATCAATCACTTTATGAAACTAGCTTCAACTTGGTGGGATCTCCTTTTAATATCAAAGCTCTGCTACAACAGTTCTTCTATGAACAAGTTACCACTCGCTAAAGTCAGAACATGTGGTCTTCAAGAAGATTCCAACATTGACTAAAAGATTTATATAGTACTAAAAGTAACATTTATATAGAATTTTATATTACTTTTCCAAGCACAGTACTATTAGTAGCCCGGATTTGGCAGAGCTAACCTCATAAGGCGCTCTGATATTACGGAAATTTATTCCTAATGGGTTCACATTTTCATCACCTGGGTGGACAATGGGAAATCCAAGACGTATTCGATTCAGGGATTCGATCCTTGACCACCACCACCACCACCACCACCACCACCACCACACTTCGGAAAAAGATGCCTACCTGGTATAAGGAGGAGGATGCTGCAGAGTAGCAGCAGGTGAGCTATTCCCTGAGACCACTCGACCTTGACCATCTCGGAAACTGAACTTACGTCGGCTAGGCTGAGGAGTGAAATAACGGTGACGACTCACACTGTATTTTTCCATTTCTGACGGTGATATTCCACCTTCCAGTGTTCTATTGCGAGATAATTCTGTGATACAATAATAATATTGATAATTTCTTATCATAAATTCGGCACATTCAATATACTCATGTGTACCCGACCAGGCGGTCTGGAAAGGAATATGTCAACTAAATTACATTGGCCCACATGCCTTCCTTCCAACACCTCTCGAGTGCTCGAATATATAAATATATAGTTTGATTTAAAACAAATCTTTTAGAACTGATCATTCCAATGTAGTAGCCCTCGTGCTATTCAGCATGTAAAAATATACAAACTTATTAATTATCAATAGTCATATCTAACACTGTAGTTTTTTGTGATTCTGGATGCTTCAAATAAAAAAATAAGAAAAATTAAAAATTGGCTTAGAATTTTCTCCTGAAAATGTCAAATTAAGCTGCATGTGGGTAAGTAAGACGAGTGTGACCTACAAAGACATTTATTCAATTTCATTTATATACCACATTAACTTCGAAACAAGTGTCTATCTTGTCCAATCTTTATGATGCTATTCATTCTAAAACGTTTTACATTTAAGTGCTTACTTAATTAGAATAACATAATGGTTAAAATGATGAGAGAAAATGTACAGATATGAATAATGGAAGAGAGTAATATAAAGGAATATGGCAGGTGAAAGAAATGTAAAATTAAGGAATACAAGAGAGGAAGATCAGGTATTTAGTCATAGATTTCATTCAATATAGATCTCTATACCGATAATGAAGTCACATGAAATTATAAAGGTTCATAATTCTAACAGACATCTAAAAGTAGTTTTTCCCCACGTACATGTACATGTCTCACCCGGAATGACGACATTTTTCTCAAAGGCCCGGATGTAAATGGCGATCTCTTGATTGACGTGACATTCAAGCGACCTGATTGGATGATGAATTAAATACAGAATACATGCACATGCAAAATCATAAAACGTCTATACGATGAACGTCATGAGACTATAATGGTACAGCTTCGAGTCGTGTACTGACCCCCAGTCACAATGGAGTGACTTGTACGCATGCAGCTATCGGTTACGGAAGCAGTTAGCCAGGAGATGAAAGGTGCATTTTTAAAATCTTTTATGAGCTATTGTCTCGAAAGAGTTTATTTGTAGACTCGAAACATGCTTCGTATGTAAGGTGAACTGCGAAAAAGAAATTGCGTACAATAATATTTCACTGTATACTTATGACCGGAATCGCTATTTGATGTGTTTTCTCGATATGAAAAAAATATGAAAAGAAATACACTGCGCTTAAATGAAAACAAAACAGTACTTTATTTGAGAAATTGTGGTTTAATTAATTGCAGTGAAAGTTATTACAGGATATGAGAATGGAATATTGTCATGCTTCAAATATCTTTTTCAGATTAGCCAGAATAGAATCAGATTTAAAAATATCTATAATGATCAAAGATCAGTGTTCATGCAATGACCGAATAAGAGAGACTAAGTGAGCATACACCTCTCTGTTATAAATGGTTTTAACTCACTTGGCTTCGTGTTTTCATCACCAGAATCATTTCTTTGCTGTCTTTCACCTCGTCTGGTTCGAGTGTTAGACGAGGGGTCTGACTTCCGACGACCAACAGGGGGCTTCGATGGAGCCTAGCAAAGACAGATACACGGGGAATGATGGTATGTTATAATGGGGCTTCTTGTCTTAAAAAAAACCCTGATGAAGGGCGTTAGAGGACGGAAATACAGCCCTCGACTTTTTGTATACAAACGATCTATTCCATTTCATTGACCGGCCCTCTGAACAAAGCCAACAAATATGATTAGCCCTCTATCATACATACTGACCAGTGCGATGGATTCAAATCGATTAAAACTTTATTTGAGATTGATATTATTCGTATCTCTGTGTTATTAGAGAGAAGCACTTGTATGTAAGCCCTGATCAGAGTACCTGCAATTCAAACCAATCGCAACTCTTTATAAGACGGGGTCCAGATCTTCAGGGGAAAAGTTCAAATTATCCAATTACCATTTCTCTTAGTATGCGATTGAGTTTCTCTTAAACGAGTTTAGATAATCATTAGTTCGTAATACTTGCGTGCATACTTTTAGCATATCAAAACTGACATGCAAATTAATGTAGACATGTTTTGAAGTAAATGTAACATAATGTTGTTCTCGATCGGTTTCCCCATCCAGAACACATGGTATTGGCTCTGTTTATTAGCTCAACCAGGGACGTGATAGAGAAGGACAGGAATCAAGCCGCTCTCCTTTGACCCAATGCTCCAAGCCGCCGAAAATTTATGCGCTAATCTGCAACTGTTGACCAGGTGGTGAGATAAAAAAGCGCATGAAATTTCAGGATTTAGAATTCCTACATCAGAAAATGGTATCACTGCAACTGTTCGCTGTCCCTTCCAATGATTTCTCATCCATTGTTGAATGTGTAAAGAGTAGAACAAGCGAACACAAACTTGTGTACTTTCATCCTTTTTTAAACTTGAAAAATACAAAAAACACGCGAAAACACGCATTAGCAAACTTAATGTTATTGAAGATTGTAAATCATGGATCAAATAACGGGACATTAAAGCATGCACAAATTAGCGCATCATCCTAAAATATTGAGTTTTTGACAGGATGTAATTTTTCTTTTACCAACTCTGGCACACAAATTAAAGGAAGGACGGAGTTCTAAATTTGAAAATTTGTTTGATGCACTATTCCCAATAAAATCCCCATATAAAGTTTTTGATTTACACTGAAATTTTGCCGGTAATTTAATATTTTGTAATAAATGTAAAACTGGTGCCTGGCTTCCGAAATTCCCCGCAGTGGAAGCGCGGTTCGGAGCATGGAACTTCAAAGCCAAGTGGAATGTTACACATCCCATTGTTACGCTTTAGAACTCAAGAATGCATTTGAATAAATTACAAGAGTTTCGCCTCCTTTTCTTTCACCTCCCTGGCTCAACATTAGTTCAACATTGGGTCCTTGCAGGGTATCCGGCAACTGACTGATTCACCTTAAATACATGCACAGGTAAGACATTGGGTTGGGTGAGTCATGTTACAGACGTAAATGAAAATGAGTTTATTCCCTAGGAGACAGGCTAATGTAGACTAACTTGATGTCATGTCCTCAACAGGGGTAAGGAGCAAACTAGGAATACCCAATGAAATCATTCACAACGACTTATATTGCTTTTTTTTTTTTTTTTTTTTTTTACATAGGGCACTCTGTGATTGCAGTTCGATAACTGAAGAGGAAATCCCAGATTAAATTAATCTACAAATTCTAAAGTAATGAATAAAATAACAATTTCAACCAGTAAAAGATAAGCTGAATCAGCCTATGAAAATTAAATTCTCTGTATACAAAGTTTGAAATGATTTTATTATCTCATAAATTCATTCCGTGAATGGAAAACTGAATTTTAAAATAATCATTTTACCCTTCGCTTGGGTTGAATGGGTTCGTCCCCGTCATATTCCGGCGTAACTCGGAGCCCTTCCGGTGAGAAGACACTTCCTGCAGTGCTAGGTGTGCTCGAGATGCTACTAGTCTTGCCGGCACCAGTCCTGGCTTGTGCACTAGGTGGCTTCAGGGCTCGTTTGGTCAGTATTCCTGCACTCGCGCTTCCATTCCCGCTGTCAAAGCTCCCATCAATCGATCCCGTTTGCTCCCCAGAGTCCGGGCTCGGACTCCCGAAGGTTCCTGTTCGCTTCGGGATGGTCAGAGTTAGCTTGGGCTGTCTGGAGCCATTTTCCTTGACAGGGGGTGTCTGAGGTTTCTGCGAAACTTGAGGTTTGGCGGAGGGTTGAGGTTTAGCGGATGGACTAGGTTTTAAAGCCTTCCTCTTGGCTGGCTGTGGGGTGTAGTACCGGTGACCAGGGTGAGGCACTGAACCGTTTGGTGTAGATGGGTTTTGGTAGTCACCCTCCTGGCTCTGATAATGAACACCATCTTCTTCGTCCTGCAGCCGCGAGAGACTGCTCGAACGAATGAGCCTCCCTGAAAGTAAATGTAAAAACACTTCAATCAAAATGTTTCTGACATGTTAATACTATATCATCTCCATCAAAGTTGTACATAATTTTACAAATGACTAGGAACTAACAGTTCAAGTGGCCATAGCAATATGGACAGATGAACTGAAATTAGTGGCTCCAAATGACAGAAATAACGACATTGGTGAGATAAAGAGAGAGTGAATGTATATCATGAAAGTCGGACCTTCATTACAAATTGTACAACTGTTAGGAAAAGTAAGGACGCTTAGAAAATAGTCACCAAAGACTAGGCGTAAATCAAAGAAAGAATTATGTTTATATCAAGAGCAAAGCTGAGAATGAGATCATGTTGTTCTTTCTAGACTATCATTGGACTACCTTATATTCATCTGTAATAAATGTTAATGACGCGGTGCATTTGGTTGATAAAACTTTCCAAAGGAAATAAAATTTGACACAATCCTTGATCATGAACTCGCCTTATCTCCATAAAACTCATTTCTGTCACTTCTAATATTCATGAAGCTAGCTATTTGAGTATAGGATTTCGTTGCTTGATAACATGGCTTTTCATCTTAAAGCCACACAAACCCAAGTCATGATCATATTACGTGGCAAATAAAATCTCGAAGTTTTTTTTACACACCATTTGGTGGTACCCTGGGAATATGTAAACCCAAAATTATTTTAAAATCTGAATTAAGCTCCGAAATTGATATCCCCTTTTTGCACGGACTTCAGTACTCTCCTTATAAAAATGAAGCAAAATACTGTTTGATGAACATTTTGCATTGGTTTGTTTATACATGAATAGAACTTGATATAACTAGCAGTGCAGAAGTGGTGATTTTGAGAAATCTTTACAATTTCTACAATTCCTCAACTCAGCACCTTAATTCTAAGGGTGAACCCCCTTTGAACTTGTACCGTCGATCAAATCAATTGTATTGAAGTCCACTCGTCATTTACACCGACAACGAACACTGTTTTTTGGTCACAATTTGATCTACAATCATGTTTATTCGAAAAATAGACATAATACAAGAAACATTCAACATAAAGAAGAACAAAATCATGACCAGATATTCGTATTACTTCCTCCTCCCAGAAAGTAAGTGGAGGGGATATATAGCAGTGGGTTAGAATGGTTGAGGGTATTTTAGAACGAAAATCAAATAAATCTACTATGACGCAGGTAAGCAGTCAAATCTGAAATACCAAGTCACTCACTTTGCTTTGGCCTCCCCCTTTGCCCCCCCCCCTCCCCCTCCAACCCCATGCACTCAACAGGAGGATCGGAGATAGCAATAACAGGAAATTCAGGAAACGCACCTAAAAAGATTTACTGGGCGTAGAAATCCGGCAGGATTTTCACTCCAATGGTGAACTAGTCTAACGCATGTTAGTCTGTGTATAGGCACTCATCTGATTAAACAAGTACTACATCCAGTGAATATCAAACGTATATTTATTATTGTTACGATGTCTGAAAGTTTTACATCAATATCACAAGAGACTAAAAGAAGACAGCAAGAGGGGCGAGTGGCTTTGAATAGCTTCAGCAAATTTAATGTGGAAACGTGGGGAGAGAGGGGGGGGGGGCAGGGGCATTTATTAATCAGAAACGTCTATCGTATATTGACTTGGGGCACGATAGGAATGCCCTCCGGATCGACGCCAGACGCCCCTGGATAATATTAAAAAGCAGGAATGTTATGACAAAGTAATACAATCATGTATATGCGTTTGATAAGGCCTGAAGTGATTGTCGAGGACGCGGGTAAAGGTGAAATATAATTTATGAGTTTTCGTAATAAGTCTGTATTCCTAAGTATAGGATAATATCATGGTGGCAATGTAGCATCGTGTGTTTAGCACCTGAAGGGCGTTAATTCTGTTAGTTAATTCCTTCCTGGCTCCAAACAGACGATTAACAGTGTAAGTTAGAATTTGGACCAGATATTGATGCCACTATGTGCAGTACAGTGTGTCCAAATCTGTTTGCGAGACTCTGCATTGTAGTGTGACTTCACACCCATAGTGTCAATTTATTCCTAAGACCTAATAATAATTAGTCATTATAATGTACTACGTTAATATCAACCTTTCCCAATAACTTACAGTCAGTTCCTTTTACGAAATGCAATCATATTATTTACCAAACTTTATCTTTAATTTGTCGAGGTCATCTCCACCTTTACAACAAAAATCAGCTTTTATACACAAGAAGTCCAAATTATGCCTGAATATAATCATAAAACAATAAATAAAATGACATTGTTTTAGATTCATTACATCATTCAACTCTTTAAGAGTTCACTTTGTCACGATTTTGCGGGGTTCGTGCTAAGAAACGGGTCTGGAATCCTCAAAAAAGGAAACCGCGGGTTAACCTTTTATTCCGCTTGTTTGCCATCGCAAGCTTCCGATTTTAGGGGTAATAAAACCCGATTTGATAAATCAATGACAAGATATCAACAGCACTATACACTAAACATGCTAAAGATTTTACTCCTGATGCAATACATAAATACAAAGTGTATGATAGGGCCGGGTCGGGGGTGGGGGGGGGGGGGAGTTCCTGCTCACCTAATATTTAACTTGAAATTGACAATAATTTTTTAATCGTATGATCTCATCTTAATCCTTATTTTCTAAAGAGCAGGTGTGCCGAAATCTCATCGAGATTCGAGGACGAACAATGTGATTTTCACATGAAAAGGCGGTGGTGTCAATTTAACATCGCAAAAACAAAGGTTTCCATTTATGTCTGGGCAGTCACTTACTTTACACGCAGTTCGTGATTTTTGACGTGAAAGGTGGCATTTCGAGGCTTGTGAATGAAATTACTTAGATTAGACTTTTCTAATTAGATTTTACATTTTTTTGCACAAATACGTACCACTAAAATATAGATTTCGTGTTGATTGTGTGTTTTGATAAAATGTTAGAATCATACGCGTATGCACAGACAAGGCCACTCTTGGCCATTCAATTAAAACAAGAAATCGATCGGACATGATCAGCTAGAGGAACTTTGTATCTTCCGGAGAATACTAACTAAACGTTCGTGTGTGAGATCAGTTGATTCAAATCTGAAAACGGAAGGAAAAGGGATTTTTCAAGGAAGAAACAATGATTAAAAGGACCTCCTGGCTACTATCAAGATGTGTGGATTAAGCAATATTGTGTACTTGTGCAGTGGTGTATCCAGATATAATTGATAAACGGGGAATGCATGGGGATCCCTGCCAAAAGGGCAAGCGAAATGTATCTGAATGGCAAGTAGTTGTTCGTTTATAAATGAATCAACAACCGTGACTGTTTTTAAACCATGATTCGCATGATAGCATTTGCCAAAGTATAGGCATACACTTTCAACATATCCTGTCCATTTTACACAATATATTAACATTGTCAGTTGAATTGAATTAAATTAAAATTGAACATCAAAGGTAGTGGATCTAGAAACGAATGACTTGGTTGTAAAAAAGAAGAAGAGAATATTCTCTTTTTTAACCGTCAAAACAATTGGATGTCATTCGTAACAATGATAGTCAGATGAAAAAGAAAATGAGCCAATCCTTATACAGGAAACTTCTCATCATGACAGCGCAAAGTCATTAATTTAGAATCCTATTCCGGTATTACCTCAAAGTTAATTCAAGTTTTGTTTATGTTTTTTGGCTAATGTTTATAAATAGTTTTGTTAAAAATCTGCTAGAAAAAAATCCAATCATTTCGAACACTTTGTCAGTTAACAAGTAACAGTCAGCTGTGATTGTAAAATAGATCATAGTAACCTGCACCTGTCGGACGATTAACAGTCAGACAAAGAAAACAAATCACACCACTTTTTATTTCCAATGTGACTGATTGTAAATGATTACTTATCCAGTAATGATACATGAGAGCGCTAAAAATGATATCAATTGCAATTATTATTTAACTGTTTATTCGGTAAATAAGCGTTTGAATTCAAAGGCAGTGAATACAGATACAAATACAATACATGTAAAATGTGTTGTGCCAGTTAAACATTATTAGGAAAAGTTATTTTTGAACGAGCCGCCTGCTCTCTTGTATTTTTAGGTTGAATCCTTCATCACGTCCATCATGAGATTTTTATTCCCGATGTAAAGTTTAAAAATACATGTATATCCCATGAATGAGCACATGCGGTTCGCAGGAAAGTGAATCACTCTTTTTAAAGGTAATGTTTAAGTTCTGTTTAACAGAACGTTGGCATGGCAATGAGAAACAACGACGTGGACATGAAACTTGTTGAATATGGTGTCTTAGTGTTCATTTTAAATGATTATTACCCTAGATGTTTTTTTCTTGACATTCCTTCCATGAATTTCCCGATTTATTTTAGCATAAATGTCACACAAAAAGAAATATTCAGAGGATTTAAATCAATTTCCGTCTTCACTGACCGTCTGGTTGTCCGATAAATGACACAATATGTTAGTAAAACTAAATCAGATTTAAGACAACGGTGTTAGAACAATACATCTCATTCTTGTTTTAGTTTTAGTTTCATTCTGTATTGTAAGGAAAGCTCATTGTTTTGTGAACGTTAATGTCGTTTGAAAAGGTCAGTAATATGGAATTGTGACAATGGACTTCCATTTGGCGTTGGCTGATGAGGGCCCCTGAAAGAAAAGTAACTTTGAGAAGAATCAATCGAGACACATATTATCATCTGTCTAGATGGTCTCTGTGGGTTTCCATGGTGAGTGATTGTTCATGGTGGGCGAGTATACTTCATTCCGTCATCATCTCTTCCCTATATCTTTTCATTTGTTTTTACTTTCTTTTAAATTTTATTTATTTATTTGAAACGCCCCTACAAGCGGGTTCTTTTTACGATAGCGTCTAATTATCAATATCACTTCCACTAAGGTTTAGTTTTACCAACATATTAAGTCATTTATCGGACAATCAGATGATACCAAAAGCCTCCCATCGTGACTATTCTCTGGCTATGCTAGCAGA